GGTCCTATGGGATAGCCCCGGTCCTAAACCCATATACCTGTGGGTTTGGGACCCAGTTTGGCGTGCAGGCCTGCACGCCAACTGCAGGCCAATCTACCCTGCAGCAGATTGGCGTGCAGGGGCGCACGCCAATCTGCGCTTGGCGTGCAGATTGGCGTGCGCCATCGGGGTTGGCGTGCACTTATCAACCCCCATACCATTATAACTTTCAAATTTTTCTGTTGCAAAAAGGCATGCAGGACCAAATCGAAGGATGGAATCTGGAAGATGAAGTAACATGTGGAATTTGGGTTTATTAACCCATTGGGCAGAAGCTTGAATCATGTGATTTAAAAATATATCAATATGATTCTTCAAATCAGAAATATATTCTGTCATGTCTTCAATATGAGTTTGAAATATTAAAGAGCCCAGGAGACAGAGTGAAGACCAGATATCAATCTCAGATGGGGTCATGAATTGGAAGAAGACGAAGGGAGCTGCTTGAAGAATTATTCTGAAATCTTTGCCAACTAAACTTGAAGAATATTGAACCAAACTGATGGGTCTAACAGAAGGGATATTGAGAGAATTGGTGTTGAAAGAAGTCCATAAGGCTGTGAGATCATCCTTTTGCGTTTGGTCTAATCCCTTCATGAAATCTCTAAATAAATACTTTACGGCACCAAGTAAAAAAACGTGCAAGACTTCAACAAGAGTATCTTTGACCATGTCAAAACCTAAGAGCAAAAAACCAGAAGACAGAAAAATTTCAGCAAAAGAATTGATAGAAAACCCTGAAGGAAAGAAATAGCCAAAAACAAAAAACCTTTCAGCTCAAAGTAAGGATTAAACATTCTTTTAGGTTCCTTATTTTCCATATCAACCAATTCCTGAGGAACGTCTTGATCCATATCAGATGATAATTCTTCTCCGTCTTCAAGTAACTGAGTTTTTTTTTGCATCAAATTTGAATAATTGTTTGGAAAACTTTCGATTGATTTGATCCCGAACACCCAACTTGGCAGATTTCTTGTCTAGTTTATCCAGATTAACAGTTTCCTTGGCATGCGTCCACAGCTTTTTGGAGTCTTCTTTGGTTTTTTCCATAGTTTGCAGTTGATTTGGGCACTATTTCAGAAAACAAAGCAAGATTTTAAAAACGTCAAAAAAGACATTAATGAAGAAAATCCAAAAGAGAACAAGAAAATCAATACATTTGATCCATGCAAGTTTTTCTGGGTGAATTGGCAAACATATGGAAGCTTCTTTCTGGCTTTCAAGCTGGACGAACTCAAATCACAGCATCGGCAAGGGTTGAGAGAATTTCCAGGAACTGGTGTGTTGGTAATCTCGGCGTGCATTGGAGAATCAGCCAGAAAACATAAGACACTAGTCATGACATGAACTTCTTGGCAGATGGTGCTATCATATGATGTGAAGCCATTGATAGCCATGTCACTAAATTACAAAGAAAAAAAATCAAAATAATGATAAAAATCACACTGGTGCATTCTAAAATAAAAAGACCCACTTTAGCTGTTCAACAACCATATCTCCTAACTCCAAAGCGCCAGTGATGTTTGATGTGCAAAGAAAATGGCAATTGGCTTGCTGATTGGAAATTTTAGGTGGTAAGCCGGAGAGTGTAAAGTAATAAGAGATGTGTTTATTCCATTTCTTAGATTTATTTCCAGGTGTGTCGTCACAGTATAATGTGATGGGAACATTTTGTAGAATTTTTCCATCTTCTTTCTTCCTCCAAGGATTTGGTAGGATGATGTTTGAATTCCATCCGCCAGAATCATTAATTTCTTTTTTTGATAAAAAACAAGTATCAAAAACCAACATTAACATGCATGAATGTGTAACTTCTTTGTTAAAGATTTCTTGAACTCACCACTAATCTTTCCTCCACAACATTCTGATAACATGAAACCATCCTTCATCTTAATTTCCCCATATGTCAGTTTGAATTCTTCAACAGGAATTGTTTCCAAATTTTCATCATCAAATGAAATTTTTTCAGAAATTCCAATTTCGAGTGTAGCATGTTCTTTGTTGGATCTGAAAGTTGGGGTAGAACACTTTGCAAAAAGGTGGTTTTGCTGAGAAAGGAAGAAGATTGGGATAGTGATTTTAGAAGAATTCAATTGAACTGGTTCAAAGATGTAGAAGTGTTTTTTGTTTGATTCTACCATTTGAACTCGAAGGTCACTAGCTTGATGTTTCAGCCATTTTGTTGACTGAGAAAGCTTGTAGATATTTTTGCCGTGCGCGTCCTCTGGAACAAAATCAATGTGTGGCGCAACCAGAGAGTTCATTAGATCCTAAACAAAAACAATCACGCATACGATTCAGCTTGGCTCTTCCCCAAGAATAAAACCATCAGGTGAGTACTGACATTCTTAATCAAATCACTCGCCTTCAATCCAAAAACGGGCTGACCAAAAATGGTTTCTTTCTCGATGACAGTCTGATTGACCAGCGAACGGATTTGGGCGCGCATCATTCGTAAGGCTTCCCAGCGGGGAAGATTGATGGAGTTTAGAGTAAAGACGACCCGTATTTGATGGTACGAGTAACGCAAGATCAGCTTGTGTAAGTATCCAACAAGCAGGGAACCCATCAGGTACTGTAGAAACCAACAATATGTAAGTTACTTTCATTTTTCTGTTTCCTCTTATTTAATTAATCTTACTCACTTCTTTACTCAGAAACAGATACCAGGCTGAGTTGTCAGCGGAAACCTTTTTAATCTTTTCCTCTTCGCGGCGAAATAAAGGGCTCGAATCGGCTAGAGTGTCCATCGGCGGCTCCGAATCGATCTGACCAACAGCTACACCAACCAAATCCATCCAAGTTGCCTCGGCCTCCTCATCATCTTCAGATTCCTCGATCTCAAACGTTCCTGGAACGATTTCATCTATCTCTTCGTCTGTCGCTTTTTCATTGTCGGCTTCCGAGTTTGCCCCACTAGGATCTTGATTGCAATCGATTACCGGCTCAAGCTGACTGATCTCTTCATCGACAATCATTCTCTCCCCATTTGAAGCTTCAGCCGCCACCCTACGAGCATCCTCCTCGTCATTTCGCTTGGTGTTCAGTTTCACAAGATTTTGATGTCGTGAGTTTTTACAGTGTCTATTTCGGTCCTTTGTTGTCCTTCCTTTACATAGCCAACACTCATATCTTCTCCCCTCTGTTGTATTCCTTTGCAAAAAATCTTAAAGCAAGTAGAAAAGTGAGTCTCTTTGCCGTCAAATTTATAAATTATATCCAGAACAAAATCAGTTCAAAGCTCACACTTGGAATTTGTATCCATGTTTTGACCAAGTATAACACCTTCAACTAACTGCCTTGCTTTGTTTTTCTGATCGACACGTTTTTTCCACTTCTCAATAAATATTGTATCGGAATTCAATTCTTGACAAGTCAGAGGATTGAACTGAAGGAAGAGGTCTGTCTTAAACTCTTTTTATCGATTTATCTTGGACTGTTGTCCTTTAATGTTTTCACTCTTTTTTTCTGTTTCAGATTTTCTTTAAAAACTGATCGAAATTCATTCTTCCTTCTCCCACATTTTCCTCTCCTCAACCTCACCAATCACCCAGTTTGTTGAGTTGAACCGATAAAGTTTCTCTTTTGATTCTTCTCTCTGATCGAAGCTTCCTCCCTCCCTTCTGATCGAAGCTTCCTCCCTCCCTTCCGATCAAAGCTTCCTCCCTCCCTTCCAATCATGTTAGACTTGAACGAGCTCATTCAAGGAGATCCTGATGATCCTGCCACTCAACTTGAGGCAAGTGATGATGATCACTACGATTCATCCTCCGAAGAGCATGATAGTCCGCCTTCCACCCATATGGAAATCACCAATCCCAACAACATGTTTGCCGCTTTACCCGCTCACGATGTCACCATGACCGATCAATCCTCTTCCTCTTATCCTAACACAAATATCGAGCAAATTTGCTCTGATCTTCAATCCAAATTGAAGCTCAATCCTGAGCATCTGGAGATTGCTCTTATCGGAAGCAAGGTTTGTTGATCGTCTCTTTTTTCACTTCATCATTTCATTCTACACCCGGACTTCATCTCATCTCTTTTCAATATATCTCTTCCCTCTCACCAGGCTACTCCCGAAGCGAGACACGCGAGCTTGGTCTTTACAAATGGTGCGTATCACCAAATCAACTATCAAGACAGCGGTTCACAAAAAGCGGGCTTTGCGTATGGCAGCACTTTCAGAGTAAGCATTTTGAGCTCATTAATCTCATGTCCATCGTTTACTTACAAGTCAATTACTTCTATCTGGTACATACCAATCACCATCAGGACTTCGTGAGAGCTAGCGCTCGAATGTTCTTACTCAAGCCAACCCTTGAGGCGTACTCCAACAATCCACACCAAAACGGCGAAATACCGAAAACCTTATTCTACCTGACACTTGTAAGTTGCTCTCCTTTCTCTCTGATGTCATTTCATCTAAGCAGCTCTTTTGATTTTTAGGATGCTGTTGAAAAACAGCCTGATGCATGGAAGACCGATCACCTTCCAACCAGCGGACTTCGGGCCGATCCGGATGTCCTTAACCACTATCGCGAGGTCATCGGCGACCTTTTAAAATACCAACGCAGTAATTTGCGTACACTGGTGTGTTATTTCTTTGTATGTTTTTTTTTCAATCTTTATTGATTCTTCGTTTATATATAGCTCCTAGCAGACATCCTTGTGACCAAGAAGAAACCGGTGGTTGGGGTAATTCCTAATCGTGGGGAGTTGTTGGCTTCGGTAAGTGTTTGGCCGATTGCAAACTGCTATCGGTATACTTACCTTTCACTTGTCCTTTCTAGATTTATGAAGAGCTCCCACCTAAATCGTCAAAGCTCAACAAGTCCGAAATTAAGCATCAAGTCCGTTCAAACTTTGCCATGCGAGCTCGAATGTGCTATGCCCGTCTGGTCATGGTGCATTACTATGTACACAGGTCTAAGAAAGAATCTCAGTGGGTCGAAATCGACGAGCGATTGGGTATTCTCCGAGGATCATCTTTTGATTTCCAAAAGAAGTAAGTCTTCCACACTTTCCCTTCCAAACACTACATATACTAATTGCTGCTTGTTCATTCCAGACATGCAGACCTTGTCTTGGAAAAAGACGCGGCACTCTTCTCACACAAGAAGAGACCTCACCGTTCCTACCCTTGAAGATGTCCGAAATGTGATCGCTACTGCTCACTCTCCAGGTTTGAATGAATAGCCTATCCTATCACCCGAGGCCACCAAAAGAACCAACCAAGTTCTCTTTTTTACAATAAACTATGAAAATTTAAAGTTGTTGTACTTTTCTTTTTATTCATCTACTCAGTCGGGTTTCCTGGAGAGGAATCCTGCCGGGTCACGTGCTCACCAGAAATAAATGCAGTATTGGATTCCTCATTCAGGCGGTTTACAAACCAAAAAAAACCACCGGATCATTCTCGTATTTTTTTTGCCTCGGTTTTCACCTAGATCCGGTCGGTTTTTCTAAGATGAAAAACCGACCGATTCTTTTTTTTTGGCACTTGCATTCTTGCCTGACATCTGGCCAACGGCAAACTCTTCCGTCGGCCATTGACCTGAAGCCATCGGAGGTAGTCTCACGTGCGGCACTGAGGATACACCCAACCTAAGCCCGGCGTTGGGAAGTTTTGCCGACGGCAGGCACTCACGTAATCCCGGTGTTGCCAGCTCGCCGACCGCGGGCCCCCACGTAATGTCCGCGTGGGAGGGTTGGGCCAACGGCGGCTCCCGACACCTCCCGCATAGAAACACACCAGCCGATTAGGGCGGGGTCGGTAGGGTTGGTTTGACGTCGGCTCCGACGTCGGCCCCCGGTTGCAACTAACCCGTGGTGTACAGTGGGCAACACACGTTCTCAACCACTCCATGGGGGCCTGTTCTAAATTTTTGAGGATGTTTTTTCTTTTCTTTTTTAGATTGGCTCTTTTGGGGCTTGAATATGTTGTGTCCCCCCACACGCAGGTATATACAGTTATCAATGAGATTGTGCATGTCCTATACCTGGTCTAATGAATTTATTTCAAAATTTTCAAAAAGGGTGGGGCTCCTTGCTTCTATGCCTCAACTGTTGAAAATTTAGTTTTAAACTAGTCTGACTGTGTTTATAGTTTGATATATAATTGCAAAGTATTCCCACAGCCTTTGTCTAGCTGGACACACACCTCACTTGGATAATTCCCAAGAGCTTGGAAAGCAAGCCTCCAAAGGAGAGCCTGGGAATTAACTTCAAATTTTGACATGAGAGCTTTGTATTTTCCGTTGGTGGCAAACTGTGTTGAGATAGTATGGCAGTATCTCTTTACTGGGATATGCTTCTAACCTATCCACCCACAACTTAGGCTGTACTCTGTTACTACATAGCCAAGTTGTTATCTCTCTGTTTCTCTTCACTCATACTGAATGAATATTACACATTGAATGACTGTGCTTGGACTTCTTGTCCTCGCCACCTCATTGGCTTCTCACTTATCATTTGTGTCACCTATGTTACCCTCAACAAACTGCACCACATTCTCCCCTTTTTTCTCTTCAAAACTTTGCTTACCTTTTGTATCATAAGAATTGTATGATTCCCAACCAAGAATCAAAAAGACTCTCACAAATTACAAAGATCTTTCTCCATTTGAAGGATCATCTAACTTTGGATTTCCCCCCAAGGTCTATGCAATGCAATTTCAAGCTTGGGGGCCATTTGTATATTTTGTGGGAGGAGGGGGTGTTAGGTGAGAAGCAGAGACAGAGACATGACCAGCGCAACAACTGACCCCATTTGACAGATTTACCCATACATTTAGGTTCAAATCTTAGCTAACTGCTCAAAGGAATTTTTGAAAATTTGATTTCAAGGGTTGGGACTGTAACAAGGTGATCAGCCATTGGAACTGGCTATTGTGAACTGGGCTAATGTCTCAAGCCCAGCAAATCATTGATGCTTAAAAACACATCCATTATTGAATGTGTAGTCCAGAGTACCAATCCATCCTACAGCCAACGCTGCCACAGATACGGTATCTGCCCGTATCTGCCATGTATCACTATGTATCTGAGCCCCAATAAAAAAAAACTATCTGACCAATCTGCTTTTATTTGCAAGGAGATTCAACAAATTTGGTTTTTGGCCATTCAGCTTTGCAGAATTCTCCATGATACACACAGTGTATCGTATCTGTGGCAGCGTTGCTACAGCTGTTCCCAAAAACCTTGCAGTTTTGGGAGCGCTGTATTTCCAAAGAAATTTTTTAGCACCACCAACTTTTTGCGCCTCACGGCCTGTACAGATGATGGTACAGGTTGTGATTAGGCTGCCAAGGCCCTGGTGGGTCCGGATGCCTGCCAGCTGCCAGGCAGGGGTAGGGCAAGCCTCAATTTTGTGTAACAAGGTGATAAGCCATTGGAATTGGCTATTGAAAACCGGGCTAATGGGTCAAGCCCCCAAAAGCTATCAAAACAAATGGAGTTTTTTTTGAAAATTTTGGGTCTTACCATATATGAAAGCTCATAAGCTTATAAACACAAACCTCAAGAGTCACCTCACCAATTAGCATTACATTCTAAATTTGTAATGGGCAATTAGAATCATTTTTTACCCTTTGAGTTATCAAGCACTACTCATTGTATCTTGTAGGGTTTAATGTGTGTCTTCATAAAACTGCAGTTTACATGAGAAGAAAGGGAAGTTTCTGAGTCTTTCACAACATTCCATAACAGTTTTTTAAGGTCTCTGGTTGACTCAGAAAAACATCCCTTAAAAAAGTTACAGTAGACATGCAGGCCTGAATAGGTTATGGTTTTCAAGCCCAACAACTGGGCATTTATTTACCTGATCTTTTTTTAATAAACTGACAATTGGGCTGGCTTTATGTCCACTATAAAAATGATTGGGGGAGGCAATGATTATAACAACTGCAGTGAATCTATCTTTCTCCAGGCTGTTAAGATACAAGACAATTAGAAAAAAGGAAGATACTCAATGTACTTTGACCAAAAAAAACAGATGTGGAAAACATACAATTTGAAAGTGGGACAGTGGTAATATTAATAAACAAAAAAGGGGTTTTTGATGTACATTTAAATGAAATAATTATCGGTATACATATATTTTTCATCACATCAATCAAGGATTAAAGCATCATAGGATGATTCAATGAGATGGCCAAACTCATCATAGACGAGCTGAAGACTGGAGATTCTTTCCTCCAGCTCATCAGTAGACTGGGCGGGATAGAGCGCAAAGAGTGATAAAAGTATCTGACGGGTCCTTTCATAAGCTTCTCGAACCATTGAGTCTAGGACAGCTCTGTGGGACCTTCTGACCTCTCCAGCTGCTGGGTCATTGGAGCGAGGCCGGGTGAAGCGGTTTGCAAATGCTGAAGTTCTTTGAACGCCTCTTGCCTGGCCTGTCTGGGGGAAGTCTTGATTGAAACCAGGGGATTCTCTGAGTCGGTCGTTCTCAGGGTTGCTATTCAAGTGATTTGGAGAAGAAAATCTGGGCATGGTGGTCTCAAGACGCGGGGGATTCTGGGATACTGGCCTACTTGGAACAGATGACTGGCCAGAACTGGAAAAGGTAGCATCTCTAGTTTTAGGAGGAGATGAGCCCCTTGAAGGCGAAGCAGGGTTGGGGTTAGGTCTACCACGAAAGCGAAGCAAAGGGGAGCTGTGCGTGGGTGAGGTGGTAGCAGGACGACGAGGCGAAGGGGGGCTCAAGCGGGGAATGATGGTAGCAAAAGATTGAGGCCCACGCGATGTGCGCAGAGGGCTAGGAGATGAAGAGGATTTAATCTGGGGCTCCGCAGCCAGTGGTTGGGGCCCGGGCACGACTGGAAATATGGTCGCCGCGGAAGGCCGAGGACGCGTGCGAACTGGGATAGGAGATGGAGAAGTTCCAGGCAGGGGCTCCGGGCTCAGTTTTTTGAGCTGGGGAGCCACAGGGGATTTAATGGCCGCCGAAGGCCGAGGACGCGTGCGAACTGGGATAGGAGATGGAGAAGTTCCAGGCACGGGCTCTGGGCTCAGTTGTTGGAGCTGGGGAGCCACAGGGGATTTGATGGCCGCCGAAGGCCGAGGACGCGTGCGAACTGGGATAGGAGATGGAGAAGTTCCAGGCAGGGGCTCCGGGCTCAGTTGTTGGAGCTGGGGAGCTACAGGTGATTTAATGGCCGCCGAAGGCCGAGGACGCGTGCGAACTGGGATCGGAGAGGGAGAAGTTTCAGGGAGGGGCTCCGGGCTCAGTGGAGCCGCAATAGGACCGAGGACGCGTACGAACTGAATATCGATGGGGAAGTTCAGGCGGAGCAGCGAGCCAGTTGAGATCGGGTACAAAATCAGGTACAAAATGAGGCATGGTGTCGGGGGAAGAAGCCGGTGCAGGCGGTCTCCGAACTGGGATAGATGATTTAGATGCCACTGGGTGCCACGTACCCCGTCTGTGGAGTGCAGGCGGATAGGCACGAGAGAGTGGCTGTTGAGCTTGTGGCTGCAATGTCTCAACCTTTGACGATCTGCCTGGGCCCGGGGTAGGTCGGCGAGTCTGGAGTGATTTTTTCTTAGCTTCGGGCTGAAGTGGCATCGCAGCCGGCTGTTGTGGAGGGGGTTCAGGGTTCTTCAATTTGGGAATTTTGGACTGATGTTTTGTCTCAGGCGGTGCGGGTTTATCCTTGGGCGCATGTTGTCGAGGTTTGTGGTGTTCGGTCAAACCCTGTGGTGGTTGCTTCTTTTCTGCAAGCTTAGAGGGCCCAGCAACTAGCTGGTCAGATGGTTGAATGGATCTTGACACCTGTGCTAGTGCTGGCTTTGAGAGAACTGGCTGATATTCTGGCGCTTGGGGGCCTGCTCGTGAGGTTTGAGCTCTGTTTTGGCGAGGATGCTTCTGACGGCCTTGATCCTGTTCAAGTGGTTCACCAGGTCGTTTGGAGGCGTAGGATCGCGCAGTGGGAGCCGGTATATGGGTATGCGTGGCACCAGAAGGTCTCGCTTCTTTAGCCTCCTGACGGGTAGGTTCAGCCGGTTGATTGCGGGCACTGCGTCGCGGAAGAAAGTTTGATGAACCCGCTTTAGGCGAACTATCTAAAGAAGGACTTTGAGTTCCATCGGTGGTTTCTTTCGCAGAGTCCGAGGAGTTGAGACTTCCATGCACTGAGGGAATCTCGTCAGATGACAACACTAAAGGGTGGGTTGGGAGGGAGGTGGGATGAACTTTTAGTTTACCGCAAGCTCAAAAGAATCTAGGATGAAGTAAAGAAAGACACACCAAAGGCTTTGCATCGTTTTCGATCTTTGATGCAACGATCACAAGTTTGGCTTTTTTTGCTGGATTCACTGGCTTTGTAGGACTGGACCCACGTGCATCGATGTCCTTTTTCAACACAACGCGCACATTCTCGGCCCATCTTGAATCAATAAGAACTGTTGTTGAGTAAGTTGTGGAAAGAACGATGGGGAAGGGGTGAGGTGGGCTGTTGAAGACTTTTGCAGGAGTCTAGCACATGGCTTATTATTCGTCTAAATATATATGAGATCGGACTGAGGAAGAGATTGGCCTGGAGGCTTCTGCTAATGATAGTTGTATTTCCCATGATGATTCTGAGTTTTCCATAACCGGCTGGCTTGCGGCCGAGCACGATTTCCGTGGATTTGACCATTCTTCAGTGCCGAATGTCTCCAGGAAGGCTCGCAAGTAGCAGTTTTGGCATCCAGAATCAGGATGGCGCGTATCTCGCCGGATGCGGCCATTTGAGAGACACTCATTCGTTGTTGGACCTGTTGATAATGATTGGCGGGGGTGGGCGGCTCGTTCCGGCCGTCCTTTGGATAGACGGATCCGGGTGAACGGGGTATACTCACGCTAACTTGATGCACACCAGGCCATGAGATGAGAAAGGAAATCCGACGATGGCTGCATGTGTAAATTCTGACGTGCATGCCACAGCGGCTGATCGCGGCGAATGCCAGGCTCTATCAACCAATATATTGTGCTGCCAATTCAGCTGTACCTTCAGGCTTCGAGTATTGCGGATATATTGACCAATGATCGATAATCACGAAGAGAAAACTTGAATCGGAGGCATTCGGAATCCCAAGAATAAAAGATTACATGATTCTGTCGAATCTCTCGCGTGCACCGCACACTACACGTGCGTCCGGACCAAGAAACAACAGAGCGTCGCAATTTAAGCGGGTAGAGTCCATCAAGCCCAAGAGCAGCCTCGAGGCAGTAAACTTTTTATCATCATTAAGAAAGACTAATAAACAGAATTCGGTTGGTACAAACGATATAGAAAGGATGCACTACAGATATTAAAACATGATCCTCCTCTCCCGTCAACCATTCAGCAACATGTGAGGCATATGAAACAGAAACCTGACAATGTCTGCCCAGAACCCAAGTGTCCTTTCCCGATTTCAGCAAGCAAGAATAACCGGACAATCTTCGACTCAGCAAGTGACCAAATGCTTTGTTGTTCCATCGCCCTTTTGCGGGAAGGACTGCATGGAAAACAAAGAGTCAACCCGTTTCAATAAGATGTTGGACAAGGGGGCTTAGTAGCACTAGGCCCGGGATTAGGAGGCCGAGTGGGAGTTTTCTTGGGCGTCGCACGAACGACCAGTGGGATCATTCCACCCGTCTGTGGTAAATGCGTCGAAGCGGTTAGCGCAGAGAAGACGTCATGTAAGAGAATCATGGTAGCTGAAGAATCTTTCCTCAAGAAGTTTCTTGGATGACGAGACTCACCTCAGTGGGCCATGGTCGATGTCCCAGAACTCTCAACAACGATGAAATCACTCCCGAATGAGCGGTGATCGAAATATCTACATTACCACAGACACACAGAAAATATACAACCATTAGCTTCTCTTTGTTCTTTTTAAGTTCACTCATCTGAGTTAGAAATCGCTTCCAGCATCCCATAGACGCTTTTCTTACATGTAAGATTCCAACTCATTGGGTCTAGAAAAACGTTTGTCAGGGCTGCTCTGATCCGAATGTCTAATTGTTGATCGGTTTCCTTCACTCATCACGTTCATGCACAGATATATCATTTTCAGCGGTCGTAGAAAGTCGAGATGTGGATGTCAGAGATGTGAAAATCGGGTATTGACATTGACATGTGACTGCAGTGCAACATACCTGTAAGTCTTGAGTCCAAAGCAAGTCATGATCATTAAATCCATTTTCGAATTCGACGATTGGAAAATCGTTGGAGATGCTTTGTTTCGATCTTCGTTGATCACAAGTGTGCAAACCTGTAGAAAGAAGAGAAGTGAGCAATTTCAAGAGAAAAGTATTGGGATCCTGTGTCAGTCAGAAAACCAAGAAGGTGGATGAACCAATATTCTCTCTCCATTTCTCTGCTACAATTATCTTTGGTTGTGGTTTCTCATTATACTCCGAGTGATTGGCAACGTGTTTCCACACCCCAGTGATGAGCATGGTTTCGATAGCCCGACTGTTTAGAAAAATCGATGGAAATAAAGGGACGTCAGTCAGATGAAATTGAGATGCAAAAACGATTGAAATCGACATTTCGATCTCCCAGAAGTAAAAGAAAGCTCGGGAAGGAAGGAAGACACCTTAATGGCGAGAGGATAAAAAGTTCTGGAAGGGGGGCGTGATGGGCTAGTTCTCTTGTCCAAGCTTTTGCAGCTTGTTGGGCTTCATCCTTCCCGAGAGCACTCAATCGTGCGTCTGGTCCCTACACCCATACGTTCAGAAATGAAAAGTTTTGTTTGATCAATTAAAATATTCACAAAAGGTTTTCAGTCCTGTCAAGCAGAGAGTAGGATCCTTCCATACCCAAACAAGTTGACCATCTGTCATTTTCTCAGACCTATAAACCCGTTCAAGAGAAGGAAGATTTGTCAAGACAGAATCTTTCAAGTTTCAAAGAAAACAACACATTTGATCTAACCAATAACAATTCCACATAGGTGTCCCGTACTTCGACTCTGCCAGGTTGTGAAATCCTTGACCATGTCGCGCGATAAAGATCACTACATAGAAGGGAGGCACCAATAATCAATGTTGAAATGCTACTTCTTTTGCTAAGAAATAAGCTTGTTAAAAATGATTATTATTGCCGGTGTAGAAATTACATACCTTTGTGCTTGGCATCACTCGGGCTGAAATATTGTTTCTTGGCCATTAGAAAAGATGCACTATAGTTCAAATTCGATTTTGATTATTTGTCCAAGAGTGATAAACTGACCTGTGCTCGATGAGGTGTTTGATTTTTTGTTGGAATTGAATCCATCGATCCGGGGAGCGATGATCGATGAGACCGAAAGACGAGTTAGGATGGTAGATGTGGAAGTCTTGAGGATCCTGATCGCGATCGTCTTGGATGAAAAACCCAGGGAGTGAACTAAAGTCCAAGAGTTCTAGTGGATGATTAGGATTCTTGCTGTTTTTAGGGACGTTCGACTGGTGACTGGATAGTTCGAATATTCCATATAAGATGAGGATGATCCCTATCCATAGAGTCTTCCGATCGAACCAGTTTGATTTGGCTGGGCGTTCGTGGGGTTTTTCTTGGTGTGGTTGTTTCTGGTCAGGATGGGGTGGTAAACTGTTGAGGTTCATCTTGAGACTTTGAAGTTCACAGCCGATTAAAGTTTTTGGCGAGAAACAGTTTAAACTCGGGCAGTTTGGGTTTAAACCCCGCCGAAAACCCATCTCGAAACCCAAGCGCTGTTATTTTCCCCTTTCCATTTCGTTACTCCTAATCCCCTCTTCATTGCTGAAATTTATGTCAACTACATGGTAAGATGGTGTTGAAGGGAAGTCAATGATTTTGCTTCTCAAATCTAAGGAATCCCATACACATGGGAAAGTACCATGAACAGCAACAAGCTTTCTGAGGTTTTTTTCTGTAATCGATCTTTGCTGGGTTACGGTATGTACTCATGGGTAGAGCAAAATCAAATCTTATTTTGTGGTTGGATGAAAATCCAGGAACCCTTCTGCATACAATATAGCTCCAGCACACATGAGGATGTGAGGCTTGTCATGAATAAAAAATAGTATGGCAAAGTATTGAGATGTAGGCAAAATTAAGCAAGCATTTTGATAGCTTGATTGCATTTTTTTCCCAAATTTATCTGCTCTCAAATGATCAAGAAAATCACACAATCATTTTAGAGCATCTTTACTGGTTGAGCTAAAAGCAAGCAATTCAAGCTTGCAGCTATCGCTAAGCTACAATAGCAACAACAATTCAATTGCACCTGTGTGGCCAGAGATTAAAGTGGTGATGGATGGTTTGAAGTCGAGGTGTGTAATATTTGCGGGAGGGCACCAAATTGAAGCACATGCATGGGTGTTTGCTTTTAGCTAGCTTGCAAGCTAACCATTGCTAGATCTAGCAATGGTGAGCTGAAATCGGAGCCACGAGCTAGTTTAGCTTGACCTTAGCTTACCCCGGTGTGGTTGAATCTCAAGGCTAACTTCCTTTAGCTTGTGCAGATTTAGAGCATCTCCAACGCGGTAGGTAAATTGGGTCGCTAAACCCGATTTACCCACCCAACCTCCAAAAAAGTCACCCACCGTGGTCGCTATCTCGGGCGCGAAATTTAAAAAACAGCTCCCGAGTAGCTAGAGGGTTGCTACAACTAGCAACTCCCTACAACTCCAACTAGCAATCAGGAGGTGTGAAACCTCCCTCCAACCTGTGAAACTACATGCCCTCCTACCCCCCGTTAACAACTGGCTTCCTTCTACATATCCACAATCTTCACCATCTCTTCAACCTGCACAAATGGCTTCAGCTCCATCGGTCGATCCACTCCTCTTGGAGGAAAACCCAAATGGGGATGAAAACGATGAAAGTAAGCAAAATATCATTCAATTTTCTGTTTGTGCCCTTTTTTACTTTTTGTTTCCTTTCTGATTTTTTTTGATGCAGACAATGCCGAACAAGAAACAGATCCGAAGGAAAAGCGCAAGAGGGCTCCCAACTACCAAGAGCATGAAGACATCCAGCTGTGTTGCTTGTGGATTGAAATCTCCAAGGATCCGACTGTAGGGACCAATCAAGCTGGGACTCGCTTCTGGGATTGAATCAGCGCTTGCTATCACACCTCCATACCGCAACCTCGTCGACCGATCAGCAGTCTCAAGGGTCACTGGGGATTAATCAGTGCAGCTGTGAACAAGTTCATCGGCTGTGTCTGCCACATTGATCAATTGAATCCTAGCAGGGCATCATCCAAAGATTGCTTGAATAAGTCTCTTGAACTCTACACCAAACTTCAAAACAAGCCGTTTACCTATCTTCGCTGCTACAATATCCTCAGTCCCTGTCCTAAATACAACGAATACTTCCGTGACCACGCCGCGAGGACATCAGAAGCATCAAAGAAGAAGAAAAAAAGACAAAGAAGCCCAAGCAGCAAAGCCCCAGCGTTGAATTCTGAGACAAACAACGCCTCCGATGCTGAAAGTACACCAATGGGAACACCTGCTCCAACTCCTGATCAATCGGAGCCCGAACGACCGACCGGAAAGAAAAAGGCGAAAACTGCGATTCGAGAGAGAATTGGCAAAGAGAACTTGTTGAAGGAAATGGCCTCAGCTCAAGTTGAAATGGCGAATCAGTCAAATCACCAAAACAATATCTACTTCACTCAGACTCACACAATGGAGGTCATGGCCGACACAGCAATCATGAACAAAGACCTCAGTGGCCTTGACGAGGTGACACAGGAGTTCTACAGACTTCAGCGTCAAACAATCATGAACAAGCTCAGAGAACAACATCGATCTCAAGCAACTAATTCAGCTCCAACACAAACCAGCGGGACCAGTCAAGCAAGCACCCAAGCGACCACTTCAGATCAGCCATCTAGAGACTAGTAGCAATTGTTGATTTATTTCTGTTGCCTTCTGACTTGATTGTTCTCTTTTCTTTTCTCTCACTCACACTCAATTGTTGGGCTTTTTCCTTCCTGTTATCTCATTCAATCCTTTTGTTTTCTATGCTATTCTCAGTCTTCAACTTTAAAATAAAAAAATGTTCAACAATTTTGTTTTCCAAAATGCAAAAAAACTCGTTACAACTGTTGAACTACACATCAGATCGGCCTTTCAGTTGCCAAAGATGAGCAATGAGATCATTGCATAAGCTTACATGACCGGCTTCACTGCGTAATCAGTGGAAGTTGGCGATGAACTGCGATGTGGTGGTCCAGGCTGTTGTGCGCAAAAAAACTGCCAAAACCCCTACGTTATAACCTAAAACACTTACATATATGAATATATTATTGCATAATCAGAATCCACATACAAGTTTACCCATAGTCACTCACTACAACTATACCTCTATCTCTATTAGTTTAGAAGATAATCCAATATAAAGGTTAAAGCCATACCATAGCTAGTCATTAATTAGTATTTAATAGTATTTTACCACATATATATAAGTACATACACATAAATTATTAAATCAGCAGGCCTCCACCAGTAGTGCAGACCATTTATGCAATTCTTCATGCATATGTGCAACCATTAGGCCTCCACTTAGTTACTTAATTGAATTTAAGCAGACTTTGCATAAATGCATGTGGACAGAAAAACCTCCACCAGGCAGTGCAACCAGTTATGCAATTCTTACATACAGCAGTACCATATTTAGTTATTTCCACAGCATAATTAGCTCAATGCATGTACTCTTTGCAGGAGGCAGTGCAACCCACAAGGTCACCACCAGCAAAATCACCTCAACTGCATCACCACCAGCAAAAATAACTCAGAAAAGAATATATAAGGAGGCCTCTCCTTCACCAATTCCCATCATCATCACCCAGCCAGTTCATACCCAACTAGCTCAGTGGTCATCACCATCATCACTCAGCAGCCCAGCTCCCACCCAGCTAGCTCAGTGGTCATCAACACAAACACCTTCAATATTCAAAACTAGTCAACACCAGTAACAACAACAACAACAACAACAACAACAACAACAACAACAACAACAACAATACCAACATCAACACCAACATCAACAACAACAACCAACAGTTTCACTACTTATCCAGAATCACCGTAAAAACCATAAAACCCTATAAAAATATTCCACTTGGATTGTTTTCACACCCATACTCACCGTGTAAAGGTTGTACAACCATCTTGTATTGAATTACATGCTGATCTAGGTCTGATAGAGACTACTACATATAAAGTTTTCTCTGTCATAAATTTACGCCACAACAACAAATTAAATTGTTGTCAGAATTCTTGTGTAGTAAATAGAGGGGCAGGTCTTTCAAACCACCCGTAACAGTAAATATTACTTAGTGAAATATCATTATTGTTATTTCCCCCTCAAGGACTGCCAACCCATCCCAAAGGAGTTCTCACAGCGAGAAGCTACTCCGTGTGTCTGATCGCTCTATGTTAACTTCGGTCACAGTCCTTGAGCCGTTGTAAAAGTTGTCCGAGTTGACTAATTCACGCTCATCCTCCACAATCATGTTGTGGAGGATGACACATGCTTTCATGATTACTTGTAAGTTGGCATGTCTCCACCCCTGCGCTGGTTGTGAAACAATTGCAAAACGTGCTTGAAGGACACCAAAAGCTTGTTCGACATCCTTGCGGCAAGCCTCTTGCACCTTTGCAAAGTGCTTCCTCTTGAGTCCTTGAGGCTGTGATATGGTCTTGACGAGAGTGGCCCAGTCTGGGTAAATACTGTCCGCCAAATAATATCCTTGTTGGTATGTATTTCCATTAATGACAAATTCACATTTTGGTGCCTCTCCGTAGAGAAGGCGTTTGAAGAACGGTGTGGTGGCGGGAGCGCGCCTTGACCTAAGCTTTGGCCGGTTTGTTTGGGGCATGCGGAATGCTAGCGGCGCTGATGCGGAAAGCACGCGGAGCTGACGCTACATAAGCAGGCTGAGGAAAGCGGCGGTGCATTAGTGGAAAGTCTAGCTTTCCGAGGCGCGGGAAAGTGGAGAAAAGTAGACCAAATGCACAAGGTTCTGAAAAGCTTACTGCGGGGAATCCGGGCATCGGCGGGCGCCGGGGATCACGGCCGACTGCGGAACGGGGGTTCAGGGTATACTGCGGAGGGGCTACAAGGAGCGGGGAGCACCGAGGGGCGGAAGCGGGGTTCGGAGCGGACCAGAGGCGGAAGCGTCGGTGGGAGACCTGCTTACGAGCGGCCGGAGGGGTACCTGGACCGACAGGCATCGGAGGGGTGACATGCGGAGTCCGAGGGGGTGACAGCGGATGACAGCGTGGGAGGTAGTAAGAGACTGGAGTGTGGGAAACTGAGGAGGAGTGGACTTTGAGGCAGAAGAGCAGGGAGAGAGGGGGGGACTTATGACTCGGAACATATCAGAAAAACAGAGTGACTTAGGAGTGAATCGTGTATTAGCCTAAAGAATTGTTAGAGATAGATTAGAGTTAGAGTATTACCTACAAAAGAACAATAAAAGAGAGCTATTTTTACCTACCTACAAGACCATCAAGCAAGTTACCCCGGACAACAAACCGGAGTAAGACGCGTTGCGGAGCGGAGAAGTACAAGAAATACCCTAGGGCGCGCCTTTCTTTCCACAAATTGGGGGTCTGGCCGGGAAACAACTTCCTTGGTCGAACGGTACGAAGAATAGTGGATGAGCTTTCTGGGACAGTTTTTTACACCGGCGTACCACAATATCGAAAACGAGCGAGCGTGGAACGATTCTTCTGATTCTTCCGGCAGCGACGGAAGCGGGAGTACGGTTCGGGAAAATCAACCGAGTGCGGAGGAAAAGGGAAAACAACGGGCCGAAACCTTGGACGACCTGATTGCTGAGGGACGTAATTTGGTCGAGCAAGTCCGGAAGAACGGAGTCGTTGGAACAGAAGTGGCGGAAAAGGTTAAGCTTTTCGAAGGGCAGGCTTCAGGGTCAAACAAAAAGGTCGGAACTTATGGAGTACCAAGCGAAGGTTCCGAGGAAAGGATGAACTTGGATGACCCAACACCGCCGCGGTCCCTGGGACCGCTGAAGGCAAAGATACGTCCGAAGGACTATCCAAACATTCGGTTCAGTACTACCGAAGTGTCGAGGTTCCTGGAGCGTTTTGAGGCTGCAGCAGATGGGGAGGGGGCGGAGGATTCGGATAAGGTTCGGCAGGTGGTCAACTTTATCCAGGATGAAGAGGCGTTGCGGGATGTGGAAGATATGGACGGGT